ACTAAGTACAGCCTCCCCTTAATTGTTCCACCCTGCTCCCAGCAATCTATCTTAAAAAAAAAAAACCCACCAACAACAGATAATGGTGTCACACTAAGTCCAGGAGTCTAAAGTACGAAATCTAGTTGTCAACATGCCACTTTTGCTACATTTACCAGCAGACTCCAAAACTTATAACTAAAGTGTAGTATGGTAAGTTGGCTAATATTAAGGTAAAAAAAATCATGAGTCCTTGTTTGTGTAAATCTTACACACACAAGGAAGAGAAAAAAATAAAATAGAAAAATGCTACATAAAACTAGCAGGTGGGCTAAGAGGAAGATATATCTAAAAATACTTTCTGGCGGGAGGGGTAACTGACTAGATTTCAAGTTGCCAGTATCACACAAAAGGGGAAAAGAACCCTAAGACTGATCCCAATTCTCTGCCTCTTAATAAGTTTCCCTATAGATATTTATGATATTATTTTTTTGCTATACCTGACTTTTGCCTAAACGCCAATGAAACAGATTTTGCCACTTTAGATTTTTATATATCTTATACCAAAATTGTAAGATTTTTTATCACATTACTAATGATTGAAAAGCAGTCATTACACCTACCTGTACCTAACTTTGTGCATCCAGAAAGCCTTTTAAAATTATTCATCTAGTTCTGTGCAACAAATTCAGAGTATATTCAAAATAAAAATTTAAAGATATTCTGTTGCTTGAATGAAGTAATTTCCTTTTTTTTTTTTTTTTTTTTTTTTTTGGAACAATCTGTATTATTCTCCTGCAATTGTATTCAAGAGTGTTAGTTTCTTCTAAAATTCCACTGGACTACTGTAGATGAAACTATAGGCATCTACACTTTTAAAAAAAGATACAAGAACTGAAATTCTGAAAAATGGTAAAGGAAGGAGAAACTGGAAAAAGTAATCAACTTTCTCCTTTGCTAGATCTTTCAATCATTCTGTATACAACTCTTAGCAACTTCACTGGGATTTACCTAGATGAAATAACTGCAGGACTGGATTATAAAAGCAGGTTACTGAGGCTGCTAGGCATAAAATTAGGTCTACTAGCTTTGATTTGAGCTCATGGGTGTGTTAGAGCATCTCTCCACTATTCCTGTTGTGTTTCTTGTGGGCAGCCTAAAGAATGCTGCTCTTAAAGGGGAAAAACAAAAATCAAACATCACTAAAACAGAATTAAGTTTCAGCATCACACAACTTTATTTTTAAAAATTAGTTTAAACACTTACTGTCTGCAATTTAAGGAAAGTATTTACTAATTACGGGAAAGGGGGTATCCTCATCTTGCAATGATACACAAAACGAAAGTAACTACATATGTTAGTATAATTTTCTATATCAATTGAAACATCTTGATTAAACCACCATGAGTTTGCTCACTTCTTTGGAAACTACAACAATGTTAAGAATCTGTAATATAGTGAAGTGTTTGTTTGGCTTCATATTAAAAATAATGTGTCCCATACATTCATAGCTCTGTATGAAAAACTCTCTCTGGTTTAAAACAACATTCAAAGCAATAGCCACACATTGTATTTATTTATATATATATATATATATGGATTCAGTCTTGGTCATACTGAAATCAATGAAATATGCTGCTTCCAATAAAAGATTTATACCTAGTTTAAAGCCCAGTCTCACAAACATTACCCCGCATAACCCCAGATTGTGTCATGAGATACACTTAACAGACCCCTGAAATCTATATAACTCTTTGTAGCTTTAAGGGCCACCTATGCAGCGTAGGGATCATATTGCTTATTATTTACTGTGAGAAAGCCCATTGACATCATACTACTCCCAGTTACATATACTGTATTAGTACTAAGTATTTCCTGGGCTGAACCTTTAAATTTGTAACATTTAAAACAATTTAAATGGGATTTAAAATAAATTTTGCACTTTTATTTTCAAACCAATATAGACTGCAAAAGTGCATTTTCACCAGCTTTTTAAAAATAGATTTAATCTTTTAAAAATATATTTCACTGGATTACAAGCTTCTTGCAGAAAAACTTACCTCCCTAAGATTTATCTCACTAGAATTTTCCCTCCAAAATGGCACTTTGCTTCACAGAGTCATGACTCCTGTCTTGTAAACTTTGCAGACCATATATTCCAAATTGACAGATCCGACTATAGAACAATAAGTAACTCACTTGGGAGTTAAGTGTAGATCCAAATTAACAAAAGTCATCCAGAACTTGACAATCTTGCTGTTACCATCTTTGTTCACAGTCGTTAGCACAAGCAACCCTCACAAATGTAAGATGTATGGGCTACATAAAAAATGTTGCCAAAGTGCCAGGGTACTGTGTTCCAAGTATCATAGTTACCAATTCTGACTACTTCCTGGGACTCTTCAAAAATTCACCTCTTTGAAATGCTTGTAAAAGAAATAACTTTAGATTGCACTCTTGGCTTACTACAGCAGAGGAATCCAGGCAAAAGGTGACACAGAAACCATAATTTTTACTATGTTAGCTTGTGGAATAAAGCTGTTAACTAATAAAAGAATGTTAACTAGCACTGGAAAGCTCCTAAACTTGCATTGCAAGAATGACTAAAAGAAATCTCACATCACGTATCAGAAGAAAAAAATTACAATCAGGAGAAATTACTGGTGGAAACTCTACATAGACTACTATTCATTTACTAAACACATGGAGGGAAAGGAATTAGACCAAATATACCTGAACATAGACACAGTCCTTGCTGAAGAACAATCATCTACCTAGATTGGTTTAGGAATTTCCCTAAAAACTAAATACACATTTGTGGAATACTTTCTGACAACTCTGAAATTTCATGGAAAAAATTCACTGCTAGTGTCAATAGTTACACCTTCCTTAAAATCAATTAAATTAATTTAATTACATTTTATATCCTGTGATGTACATATGTTTGACAGTTGAATTTTGTCCACAGATTGACCACCAATAAATACCACTGAATCAATGAAGAATGAATAATCAATGAAGAAACCATCAGATAACAAACACTTTTAGTCACTCTGAACATAAATTAAAATTTGGGACCAAAAAAAAAAAAAAGTTTTCATTATATTAACAAACCTGTGAGTTATTCGGACCTCTGTCAAAAATCCAGTCAAAACAGCAAGAATTTGTCTAGCTATAGAAAAGATGGTACTAAATATGAATCAATGCAGTATCTGAGTATACTTTCAGTTCTTATACAAAATAGCAGTCAGAAATGCTTTACTTCCCTAACAGTTTCTGTAATATGCTCAGAATATCTGGTAGCAAAACTGTTTTTAAAATGTGTGACGAGAGAGACCTGGTCCTTTGGGCTGTATGATAAGGGACACACTAAAACTCAAGAGATTGCAACTTGAACCACAAATTGCTTTTTCTGCTCCCCAACCTAGTTGTGTAAAGGATTCCCCTCAAGGAATTAATTACAAAGAATACCATAAAGTTCAATAAAAACAGGCCTCAAAAAGGTGGGAGAAATTTTCTACCTTCCTCTTGTCCACTCCACAAGTAATGCAATCAGTACAGTGTGAGAGGAAAATACTATTCTGAGATGTTAAAATGTCAGTCATACCATCACTGAATTATACAACACCTAGCACTGTATTCAGTATTTGATTTTTCAACTATGTTTCTAGGTTTCTCAAGTCTAGTTCTTTTCCACTAGTGCAGTATTTCTTAAACTGTGTTCCAATGAATGAGGCAGTTGGAGGTGTGCTGGAGAACAGAATTCAAAATGGCAGCCGTTAAAGGGGCAGGCAACTTTTTTTTTCCCTCCATAGCTTTCCCCTGACCCTTTTTCCCCCTCAATAACTTTCCCCCCTACCTTCTTACCTCCCCCTCCCCCGACCTTTCTTTTTCCTCAACAAAAAATTCTTGGGTGTTCCTCATAAAAAAAATTGTTTGGTGTTCCTTGGTCTTAAAAAGTTTAAGAAACACTGTACTAGAGTCTTTTAAATGCTGTTGACAACTTTGCATTTGAACAAGGTCAAATACACTTAATGGCAGATCCAGAATGATTTTCAGGGACAAAAACTGTGAGCTCAGAAACATCACACAAAGTTTTCCCAAAAGCTTCAGAGGGGTAGCCAAGTTAGTCTGTAACTAGAAAAACTTTAAAAAGGCAACAAGTAGTCTACTACTGCACCTTAAAGACTAACAAAACATGTAGATGGTATCATGAGCTTTTGTGGGCACAACCCACTTCTTCAGATGACAAGTCCCTAATGTCACATTGAACATACTGACTTGTCTCTAAAAGAGAGCCAAGAAAATGTAATGAAAAAACCCACTATATTTCTGCTTTCAGTACTTTCAATATTTGCTTCTCCTTTCACACTTTCACCTCTTCTGTTGAAATAAATAAGGGAAGGAAACCTATAGTCCTCAGGCAAATCTTTGAGACAGGAGAAAAGGAACAACACACCACTTATGTCAATGCAGTGGGAGGCTGAAGATCATTTGTAAATGAAACTTCAGCTTCTCCATTCACAAAGACACAATGGGAAACCAGAGCCAATCCCACAAGAGCTAGAAGGGACCATCCAGCAGGTGAGGAAGGAAAGCGCAGAGGATTTGAGGAAGCAGAGTGATGGCTGCCTGGGCCTAATGAGCATCTCACCTGTAAGGGGCTTTAGGAGCAGGGTGCCCATCTCCTCTTAGGGTGTGTCTAGACTACCTAGTTTTGTCGACAAAAGTGGACTTTTGTCGATAAAACTATACCAGTGTCTACACTTACGCTGAGTTCTGTCGACATATCGTCGACAGAACTCAGCAGTTTTGTCGACGCTGGTATACCTCATTTGACGAGGCATAACACCTTCTGTCGACAGAACTCTGTCGACAGAAGGCGTTATTGCCTGTAACACTGCGTCCAGACTACGGAGTTCTGTCGACAAAGCAGCTTGCTTTGTCGACAGAACTCAGTGTGTCTGGACGCTCTTTGTCGACAGAAGTTTTGTCGACAGTATCTGTCGACAAAACTTCTGTCGACAAAACGCGGTAGTCTAGACGTACCCCCAGGGAGACTGGGGACCTAAACCTCATTTCTCCCCTTAGAAAAGAGTTTGAGGGTGTTAGATGCAACTTCCCTGCTCATGTCTGCCCTACAGGGGGAGCTAGAGTATCACCCCTCCCCAGCAGTGTCTGCCTGACATGGGGTCCTGGAGAGGTGAGGGTATGGCCGCTGCTCCAGGATCGGACCCAGCAGGGGAGGGCCCCCAGTAGGTATTGTCTCCCCCCAGGTGTGCCTTTGGGGGGCACCACAGAGGTACTGCCTTCCCCCTTGCTTCTGCCCTATCAGGGGCAAACAGGAGCAATGCCCCCCCAGCGTCTGCCCCACCGAGGCCAAGCAGGGATATTGCCCTTCCCCCGCGTCTGCCCTAAGAGGGGAGCCGAGGGTACAGCCCTCACCCCCTCCCAGTGCCGCCCCCGGGGCTAATCCCCCTACCCGTGTCGCTGCTTCAGAGACAGCCTTGCAGAGCCGCTGGCATTAT